CACATTGCTGGCTCATGGGCATCCTCCTGTCCACCAGGGCCCCCAGGTCCCTTTCTCCTACCCTGCTCTCCAGCAGCTCAGCCCCCAACCTGTGCTGGTACCTGGGGTTGTCCTTCCCCAGATGCACCGTCTTCCCTCATCCAGGTCCTTGATGAAAATATTGAACTAAGGAGTCCCAGCCCCAGCAGAACGAAGGCAGCAGCAGCACCCAGAGCGGCTGCTCTAAGTGGAAGTTAAAAACAAGGGCGGGGCAGGGACACCGATAGGGCTGCTCAGGAGAGGCTGGGGCACCCCAGAGGGGGTGGAGGAGGCTGTAGGGGTGTGGAGAAAAGTTGGTGCTTTCCCTCCTGACTGCAGAGCAGGTGGGGAGAGGCTGGCTCCTGCGAACTGTCCCACTCTTGAATGGAGCAGTCAGGCTGCTGGCAGGACCTCAGTTTACTCAGAAAATGGAAAAAATCTTTTTTTTTTCCTCCTATTTTAGGGAGAAGACTGACAAACATAAGACACTCCAGGCTGCTTCAAATGAAGTCATTCCCACAAGAACTGGAAAGGCTGTGACCTGTACCTGAATGTCCTGTGATCATTTCTTCTGTCCTCACAGCTTTCATGTCTCACAGAACCATGCTCAGGATTTGGATTTTTGCCATTGCTTCTTTATTTTAGGGAAATAAAAATACAGATTAGTTCTAAATAAAGGCCTGTCCCCTCCCTTAAACAGACTGTTAAATCAGACTGCCCAAACAAAATGTGTTTACACTCAATTTTCCCCCCTACAGATGTGCATTCCCTAAAACAAAGAGACCTACACAGTGCTTTGGTAATTCCCTGCAATTCATGTGAGTGAGATCAGCTGAAGGAGCTGCATATTTTTGAAATACCAACTCAAAACGTCAGCTGCTTATACATACAGAAGTGGCAAATTTTGCCTGGGCCCCACTCACCTTTCTTTTTTATTCTCAAGCCACCAAAACCCAGTATTGCAAAGAGGCACAACAAAGGGATGTGTGTCTCTTCCCATTGTCCCCCTGCAGAGAATCCATATCACCCTTCCCAGAAGAGGCTGAGAAACCAGATCATTCCAGGTACACCAGGTACCTACTTACACTCTTTGGAAACCAGCAATTTGCATTGAAATTTCAGTTAAAAAAATAAATAAATGAATAAGAAAAAAAAAAGGACAAAATAACTTTTTTTTTTTTTTAGAAGCTGCTATTTGAAAGATGCAAGGACTAAACACCACAATCCCACCAGTCCAGGTAAACTAACCCCACTACATGAACCATGGCCCTGCAGGTGCAGAGCAACTTCCCCTCTCACCCTTTCAGACACTTCACCTGCTTTTTATTCAAATCATCCAAAAATCTGTATAAATGACTGCACTACATCAACAGACTCTGTTGAAACTGGGGTTACCTCTCCCAGAGAGGTTATTTTAGAAGTACTTAAACTATCATTTTAAAACAACCTACATTCTTCCTACCACCTCACAGTGATAATGTAATAAATCCACCTTCCTTCACATCACAGAACAAAGTTTTCCTTTTGGAAAGCACTTGTTTCTTAATTCCAGTATTTGAGATGGTTAGGTTTGGTGTTGCCACTTTTCTCCAACAGGAAGAGATAGGTAGATGCCAAGGAATATGGAAGGAAAAGACATAATAGTGGTAGATCCGTGGCTCTTGGCAAGGTCAAGCTCCAAATTCCTAATGGAAAACCAAAGCATAACTGGGAGAGGGCTGGGGGAGGCAGAAGGGGGAAGAAGCACTGCAAACATTTGATGAATCAAGGACCTCTGAAGGAAGTTCAGTCCCTAAATCACATTCTCATTGTGCTGAGTCTTCTTCAAGCTGGCCTGATCATGGTAGATGATGTCCCAACTCCAAAGCTAGAAGTGCACAGACAAAAGTCTGAAAAGCCAGAAGTATCTGCTAAGGAACAACATGCCCCACCAGCCAATGGGTGAATGAAGAGAACACCAAACACACACACAGCTGGACAGGCTCTCCAGGAAAACACTGTCAGCCACTGGGGCTTGGACACAGGCAGTGAAGACCCTGTCCCAGCAGGCATCTTCATTCCTGGCCCTCAGATGGTCTCAAATAAGATGGTGAATATGACATGCAGACAGAAAGATGTTTGGTGAGGTAAAAGACAGTAGCACCTCCTTCTAGAAATAGTAGAAAAAGGCATTTTTTCCTTTGTATGTAGACATTGAAACCTTTTTTTTCCCTCCCTTTTCCTCAGTAAAAACCTGGTGAGGATACAAACACAATCATCAAAACTATCGAGTTTGCTTAGAAGAGCTCTTAGGATTTCATTCCCTCATATACAAGACCAGTAAACTTCACTAAGTGTCAAAAACTGGAATCTGAAACCAGCTCCCCTTCCCTTCCAGTATAGATTTACCACACACACAGAGCACATACAGCATTCCCCTTTTACAGGTTAACTGTTAAAAAGGGGTGATTGTTCTAAGCCATGGAGATGTGCAAGTTCTGCCTCTCACGGAGAAGCTGTTTTTCCTCTAAGGTTTTTACCTGACTTGCAAGGCCAAGCTCTACTGCTCCTGTAGACTCATCACAAGACAAAAAAAAAATTAAAAGTCTTGTAGGGTGAGCCTAAAAAACCCTGTTGGTCCCAGACCCTTGGGTCAGTTCTTGGCTGTCCGGAGCTTCCTGCGGAAATAGTCGGGCGCTGCCTCGTACAACCAGTCGGCATCCACCACGCACAGGTCCCTCATGTAGCACTTGTTGGTGTGCAGCAGCCCGTTGTACACCAGGCAGGCTGGCTTGCAGTGGAAGAGCACAGAGGATGGATGGATGGCCACTGGTTGGTGGGAATCCACCGTGCTGTAGGTGCCATCTGGCTGCAGCTCGGCGGCGTTCATGAAGAGGCTGTGAGCCAGGCAGCGGCGGATGTTGCCCGTGTCGGAGCGGGAGGACTCGATGGGCATCGATAGCTGCTCAGCAAGGAGAGACACATGAGTCAGCAAGAGTATGTGCAGCCCCCTGGGGGGACACTGCCCCGTGTCAGTGGGCTTCTAGCATCAGGGATATTGTGTCAGAAATCCTGTGGGTGTGGGAAATATAAATAGGGTGGCTAGAACTTATAGCGGCTTTCCAGTGCCTGAAGGGGCTCCAGGAAAGCTGGGGAGGGGCTTGGGACAAGGGCAGGGAGGGAGAGGGCAAGGGGGGATGGATTAAAACTGGAAGAGGGTAGATTGAGCTTGGACATCAGTAGGAAATTCTTTAGTGTGAGAGTGGTGAGACCCTGTCCCAGGTTGCCCAGGGAAGCTGTGGCTGCCCCATCCCTGGCAGTGTTGAAGGGCAGGTTGGATAGGGGTTGGAGCAGCCTGGGCTGGTAGGAGGTGTCCCTGCCCATGCAGGGGGGTTGGAACTGGGTGATCTTTAATGTCCCTTCCAACCCAAACCAGTCTGTGATTCTATGAATTCAGCTTGGGTGGATATTAGGCTAATCCTAAAAGCAAACAAAATATGAGCTGCAAAATGGATTGAGATTCTCCTTCCAGGAGTTTCAGGCCAAGGAGCATTTGCAGGTGGGCAGGAGTGCCAAATGGTGGCTGCCATCTCACATCCAAACTGCAAGGAACTCAGCAGCAGCTCCCAGCCAACTCCTGTGACTGGCAGGAGCAGTGCTGCTGTGAAAGCTGCTGGAAAATTCACTGCCTGACTGCCTGTAGAACCCAGCCAGCATGGGCTGCAGAGGCCAGCATCACTCAGTGGCACATGTAGCACTGTCACACCTGCACTACAGCAGTGACATTCCTTAGGAAAAACTGTCCTTTTCCCAAGAAGCCTGCCCAGAACTCCCCTTCTCTCCTCAACCCACTGAGCCCCACAGCTCTGAGACTTTGGGAGTCGGGAATTCTGATTTTTCATGGGGACTGAAAACAAACCCCCATTTTCTCCCTCCTGGGAATTGCTGCACAGCAAAATCAGTTTGGGGACAAACAGAAAAACACAAACAGGCATAAGAGAAATACAGTATGACAACAAGTTACCTTCACACAAATGTCCCTGAGCTGAGCTCTGACATCTGACACAAGCAACATGTTCCTGCTGTTCACAAAGTTCTCTCTGCACCATTCCTGCAGCAGGGACACCAGGAGTTAGAAAGGATCATTTCCTCACCCCAAAAGCCACAGTCTTTGGATACCATGAAAAGCAGAGTCTTCCAAACACAACATCTTTCTCAGAGAAAAGGTGCTAACCCACTTCCTTGCCCTACTTCTACCCCTGAGTAGGAATGTCTGCATTCCCTCCCACAGTGCCCAGAAAAGGCATGTTGTTTTTTTCGTCCCACCTGGAATCACTTTACAAGGTCACCCAGGGCTGCACAAAAGCAGTTGCTCCCTCACAGATGGTGAAAACAAATCACACAAGAATGAGAGATGCTGCAAGGAATGGGGTACACGAGCCCACAGATCTACAAATCAAACTGAAGAGTTTACAGGTTGGGCTAAATCAAAACCTGCTTGTAAATATGCTCAGTGTTTTTGGAATGTTTCTTGCCAAAACACACATTCTAGGGTGTTTATCAGCAAATCTCAACACTCTACCCCTCCCTCCTGTTTCCAGCTGGAACCATGGAAGGAAGAGACATGGCTTTGATTCCAGAACTGGCCTCATGAAACTTTTGCTACAGGTTCTGGGGGATCCTTCAGCTTTCTCCAAGCACCCAGTTGTAAAGGATGAGTCTCTCTGCTCTGGAAGGACCCGTGTTGCATCCATTACCAGGGATGCAGAGGTCACTCTGCTGTGTGCCAAAAAACCTCCTCATCATCACCAGCCCAGACAGTGCTGGTGTCCTACCTTGTTGCCATTGACATTTCTGAAGGCTCTGTAAATGTTCAGCAG